GCTGTAAGTCTTCCTTCTTATTTCCCCATCAGCATCCTTCAGTTCTTGTGCTGCAGTAGTCTCAGATGAGACATTGCCTCACTGTATCTCATGTAACCTGGTTCCTTTTGGTTCAGCTGATGTGGAGCCATGAGCTGTGTCACCCTCRCTGAGTAGAGGGTTATGGTGTTTGCAGATCCCAAATAATGGAATGAGCAAACTYGGGTCATAAACCAGTGTTAGAACAGCCAAAGGCAGTGCGGATTACGGACACACTGAGATGTGAGGTGTTTTTTCACAGTGGCCTGCTGCTGAGCAAGRGATTCCCAGCTGGGCTGGGTGTGGTGTGCCTCTGTCAGGGGCAGCTGTTTTCCTCTCTTCCAGCTCACTTACAGTCATGGGCAAGGGGAGGAGAAATAGAGAAATAGATTTTACCAGTTTGGTTGAATAAGGTAAAAACTGCCCCCCGCAAAAAAAAAGCTAAACAAAACACCCCCAACCTGTGTGAATAATAGCTGATGATCCCAGGTGTCCTTAGGTGCAGAGTTTGGTACTCAGCCTTTGAGGAGTTTTTGCACATTTTCAGGCTTGTTAYGCCTTTGTTTCCCTATTTTTCAGAATAGTTCTTGGATTTCATATGGCTAAACCCAGAACTTGCTCAAGGAAAGATGTTTTCCTCTTGCAGTGGCAGGCTGTGTGCCAGAGTGGACGGTAACAAGATATTTCCCATCTTCCACTGTTTGCCATGCCAGTGTTAAATGGGCAGTTGTTAATGGAGATAATAATGGGGGGTTTCTCTTGGAGCTGTTAATCAAAGTGGAAGAGTTTAGAGTTGAGGGGAGACCATGGGTGCCAGGAGATAGGGGATCCTGATAGACTTAAAACCAGCTCTGGCATTTTTATTTTTTGTTGCTTTGGGCTTTGCTGGTACCCRCTTTGTTATGTAATATCACATCAGTTGAAATATTTGTTCAGTAAGTTGAAGCTCTTGCGTTGAAAGACTTTACTCTGCGAAATGTGTTCCCAAAGGTACGAGGTCAAACACACCCTGCTGCTCAGTGCTTGCCATTGGCTGAGTTTCCATGAATTGCAAACTCAGCATGTGGATTTTTTTGATCACTTCTGAGATATTGATTCGTTCTGCACACTGTATGAGGACTCTAGACCTTCATTATTGGTCTCTTCTCTGGGTATTAAAAGGGCCTGAAGTATACATCTACTTTATTGGCATCTAATTTGCTTAAGAAATCTTGCTTTTTGTAAGCATGGCTAGAAATTTAAATCTGYTTTAATTAATTAAACAGATACATAGAGCCCTTGTAAGTGTATGATGTGAACAGAGTCCTAGCTATGTATTTTCATTATTTACTATGTGGGTCCAGCTCTACATGCTTATTCCCCWACTTTCCCACAACTGTTTGGTTTTTAGTAGGACATACAAATTTCCAATTCCCATCACTAAGTTCAGTTGAAAGTGCACGATAAATCTAGCTCAGAAGGAGCTCAGTCTGYTGTTACTCCTGATTGTGATTTTTGCCTAAAGGATGCTTCAGCCATTGAAATATGTTTGTGATCTAAGTGGGTTTTGTGCTGTAGCCTTAATTCATGGTTATTAGTCTGTCCAAGTTTCTACTTATTAAATTGAATTCTCAGATCAGCCTTTGCAAGTTGAAAGCAGATACCAACACTTACACTTGGTATTAATCATGTCCTGTCCTATGTGTATCTTTCCCAGCCTTGTGCTCCTGGATGCCAAGCAACTGCCTCAGAGTTAATTACTTTTGTGGGATATTGATTTCTGTAAATTTCCCTTTTAAACACAACTGTGTGGTGTCAGGGCTTTTAATGTACAGGCTCTGTTGACTCTTCGTGAACAGAAATTTATGTAAACTGTTACCAAATAGTTGAATTTGATTAAATTGCAAAAAACAAACAGAGCTTGTAATCTTGAGGTAAGCGCTTGTTCTTGCSTCCTTTCCTCTGTGTCCTGACTATGTGAAATTGTTTAAATAACCTCACAAACAGTTAATAAGGTCAYGATATAGATAGCAGAATTTAGTAGTAATGTTAATAAGACTGGCACAAAGTTTGACTGCTGTTAGCTTAGCGTTGTCTAACAGATATTGGAGATACAGTATTTGAATACCTGATTCTATAGTGTATAGTCTCTTACTGGTTGCCTGAATACATTTAAAAAAAAAAAAAAAAAGGGCCAGGGCTAAAAAAACCCAAACCAAACCCAAACTGCCAATTCCATGCCCCCACCTCCAGTAAAAAAAACCCACCACCCAAACTCCCACCAGTGTGGTAATTACAGGCTATATCTGATGGAATACTTGCAGTACAATGACTGGTTATCTTTTACTCTCTGGCTTGGGGAAGGTAWAACAGGCAGCTGTGTGTGTATCTGGTGGTTGAATCTACACAGCACCTCTCAATACCAATTTTTGAGAAGATAGATAATAAGAGATATGGATCTTGCTGCACGGCTCTCTGTTCTTGGCTGGGAAATRTGACTGCTCACATTTCGGGGTGACAAATCAGTGTGTCATTCTAGCCTTAAAAACAGCTGCATTTTTTTTTCCAAATTGACTAAGTAATATGTTTGTTTTCAAGTTGTTTACAAGATTATGTTTATTGGTATACCAAGATCATTGGAAAAAAATACAGTTGATGACAGTGAAAAAATCATCACCTCAGGTCCRCTGTATTTACCAGACCTGTATTCATCTGAAAGTATATTCCTTGACCTTCTAAAAMCTGGGGTTTTTTTAGTGATGTGCATAGAAGTTACCATTCTTYAAAAGTGCAAAAAACTCCAGTGTTATAATTCAGTGTTCTTTCAGTGTATAGTGAACAATAAAACCATGTACTTTTGTCACTCAGCCAGTTTTTTTTTTCCTAGTATGTAATGATAGACTGTTAAATTAACTGTTCAGGTTTTTTTCCTGAGTAATAAAGTAATTTGTCTTTGGGCATATTCCAAAGGCATGGTGTGTGATAACACTCATTATAAAGCAAGTCTGTGTAACTGCTGAGTCAAGGTGTAATTAGAATTTTCTTTTAAGCCCTCATGATAATGACAAATTTATAATAATGATTGAGGCCACATCCATAAGCTCATGAGTAGATTCCTCACATGGAGCTGGATTTGTGTTCAGAAGGGCTTCTGCTAAAGCCTGGCTAGTTTTTCCAATCATGTGTCACGCATAGTATCTTGCTGAGCAAATGTTATGTTGCTCAAAACTTTTTCAGCTCCAGAAAGGGAAACAAACTAAGAAAATATTTTGATCAAAACAGTTTTCTCTGAATGGCCTCATTCCATTGATCAAAAAGGTGGAGAGGGAAGTAACACTTTCACAACTGAAAATTGTGTCTTTGTGGAATGATGAAAGCCTCCAGAAGGTTTCCTGACAAATCTGCAGGTGACACTGTCCCTGACCACCTCTGTCCATCCAGAGACTTGGTGCTTGATGGTTTGCTTTCTTTTGACCTTAAGAAATTCTGCTAGTAGCATTCTTAGGCAAAAAAAATGGATTTTAATTTAAGGAGACAAAATAACTCAGGATCTTTATATTGTTTGTTTGGGACTGTAGAGAACTCAAATAGGGAAGCTGAGAGCATGTGCTCAGCTATCTCACTGGTGATAAATCAAATGGGTGCTTATCATTAAGATGTTTAAAAGCAGTAAATTCCTTTCTGCAGAAAGCTCATGAGTTTTACACAGCACCCTGAGAAGTTGTAAAAAGAACTTGTTAAGAGTGTGTTTGACTAGAACAAGCCTCAGCACTGAAAGGACCCATCAGAGAAATTACTCTACCCATATCTGGGCCATTTGGATGGTTTCCAGTCAGAAACTTGCTTATTTGTGTCCTGGGTAAAGATGCAACCTTTATTTAAAAGGTTCAATATATTCTAACTAACGTTTAATAGCTAACATAGTAGAGCATGGGTTTGCTAGGCCTGATCACTTAATTATTTAGGAAGTCTGTGTGTTGTACATGGTTTTAGGGCACAAGGAAGATTATCCTGCCATGTTTAGGATAAGGGTTTGGAGTAACAGGTGTGAAAAGTTAATGCARTTAAGCAGTAGATGTCTTTTGCTTGGATCTAGAATTGAGAAAGAATACACATTCAACACTTTCGTTTCAGTTTTCCTGTTTTTTTATAAGCTCTATTTAATTTTTCACTTCTGTAGTGTGAGCAGTGGTCGGTCCCAGAATTTGTCTTGAAATCTGTGGAAGGACAAAAAACACTTAGAGACTATGATAAGGAACCAAAGCATGTAAGCATAGAGCAGATAGAACAACTGACACAACATGAGAGTTGAGCTCTGGTAACCTCTTGATTAGCGGCCCTCCTAGCTTTTCTATAAGATTTTTGTCTTTTAAAAACTCTTTACTTGAACATCATGGTGTTGATTTTATGGCTATAATTACATATTGGTTGGTGCTGACCAGATGAAGRCCATATTGAAGCTAAAATAAATTTTAGACTGACTTATATTGAAATAGACTGTGTCAGGGAGACGGTTACTGAAATTGAAGTAAAAGAATCCTACTCTAAAYGATAAGTTTACAGAAAGCCTGTGGATATTTGTTAAAACACAACTGGATTTCTACTCTTTTAAATTTTCTTCAATGTTTTTCCAATAATTCAAGTGTTGAAATGATCATCTCCTGCTCTTTCAGTGTAGAGATTGGTGAAAGTGTGAGAGGGGAAGATGTGTATATTATCCAGAGTGGCTGTGGAGAAATAAATGACAACTTAATGGAACTACTCATCATGATCAATGCGTGCAAGATCGCGTCAGCCTCCAGAGTGACTGCTGTAATTCCATGTTTYCCATATGCCAGGCAAGATAAGAAAGACAAGGTAGGTAAGAACTGTGTCATTTTGGAAGGCTTTTGTTCAGCTTGCTCACTTGAAATTTTTGGAGATTAATAATTTTCGTGAAGATTTAAGTGATTGCAAAGATTTGATTGTTCTCTTCCCCTTTCCGCTTGGTAAAGTGTTCAGTTATTTTATCTCTAAGTGAATCAAGTGAGACAATAAATTATGGATTTATCCTGCTTTTTCAAAGTTTTGGTTTTTTTTTAATCCCCGTAAATGTAGAGAGTACACCTTTTAAAGCATTTTTATTGCATGGAATTAAATACTAAATTCAAAATGCTGWAACTGTTATTTAGGTAGGTTTTATCCTACATGGTTAAACAGAGCAAAATGGAGGAACTGATAAAATTACTGCAATACATAACAGTAATTAATAGAAATGTTATTTTATGCTGCCCGACAGATTAAAAATAAGTTTTTATATGTGTAATAAGTACTTAGATTTATGAAGACAAATAATTTTGTGGAAACCCCATAAATGCTTCACTGATTTTAGTGCCATTTTCCTGAGTTTGATCTGGCATAACTGATGAACATATCACTCCAGCCAAGTTGGTAACACAGTAACAAACCTTCAGTGGAAAGTGAGACTGATTTTAAAAAATACAGACCTACACTTTCTCTCTCTACTGTATATAAAAAAAAAAAACCCTTTGATAGGTTATATGAATGGYACCTAAACTAGTAAAATGGTACCTTTTACCTAAACTCACTCAAAAAGAAGTAACAAGAAAAGTGAATTTGGCTTTAAAATGGGATTGCAATGATTGTATTTTTGGAAAATTGCCTCTCTCCTTTACTTCTTGCAAATGGACTGCCCCTGCTCTTTCACTTTGAGCATCAAGCAAAACATTCTGAAAGCTTTCTGCTGTTCTTTATATTCTTCTATATAAAAAAAATAACAGGGCTGAAGTAATGGAGAAGCTAAAATTCATAGCAGTTATTACCAAATATGTAATAGTCAGCCTGTGATATCTAAGAACAAAAATAAAAAACCTTATTTTCTGGTATATTAATTCTTTAAGTGCAGACTGTTATACCATACGAATGCTATGAAGGTCTGTTTGTTATACTTGCAAAAATGGAATTCAGGAGTTAAAAAGTAATAAGYTATTCTTTGCCTACATCTCTTGGTACTTCATTTTTGCTCTGTTTTGTATTGGATGATGCTTTCCCTTGATTAGAAGAGGTGAAATACTTTAAATCAAAAGACCTTGAAAGGGTGCCAAGAAGCATTTTGTTGAAAAGAAGGAAAAGCATCTCACTATRTTTTGATTTGCCATTTCTTATTGGAAAGTTCTACTGTGCCCTCCTATAAGTTYTTGGTGTGGGAAAAGGATGAGTATCTTCCAAATTTTCCATGTATCTAAATTTTTTTCTCAAGGGTACCCAAATTCCAGTGGCAGACTTCCAGAGACATTTTAACCCCCCAGTGTGGTCGCACAGCATGCCATTCCAGAGCACTTTGTATTTTGGAAAGAAGATGGATATTTGAAGATGGACAGCCTGGGAAAGTGATTTTGGTTAATAGAGATTTWGAGTTATTTTTTCCCAGACTGTCCTCTGTGTGTCACTGAGTTCTGCAGTTGTAGGCAAAATATTTTTTAGTTGTTTGTGGGGTTTTTTTTTTCCCCTCTGTTTTGCAATTGAGAAAATGTTTGCCRTCTTTGGAAATTAGCCTTGGTAGTTGACCTCCACGTTGCAAAACAAGCKATAATATAGCTGTCAGCATCGGGCAGCTTATTGACAGGGACATCTTCCCTCCTGCTGTTGGATTGCATCAGATCACTTGGTCTTTGACCCACCGTGAGTGCACRAGYTTTGTGTGCTGCTGAAGTGTCAGTAAAGTGCCAGCCATTTTCTTCCTATGATTGTACACAGATTTTCTTCTGTGGTGAAAGACATTGCTGTAGTTTGCTCAGCTGTGAACTGAAGCAGTGTAATCTTCACTAGATGGATGCTGTTTTCCAGTTTGAATTTAAGTTATTGACTTTAATTCATTAGGAACTAAATAGACTGAGTCCTTGCTGATTAAAATAATCATGTATTTGTCATACCACTGGTGCAGTCATGATTCCTGAGAACAACGAAAGTGGTCTTCCTTTATTTATGTAAGGAAAGGGCCTTGCAGTGAAAATTTTGGTCTGAACAATCTAATCTACTCTGAAAATTTTAGCACTAAACCTGGACTATCTCTACATGAGAAACAGATTGGGGGAGAAAAAAAAGGCTTGCTGAGAATCATAAAAAAAGTCAATAAATTAATTTAGACTCAGTCAAGCACTGCCCTAAACTAGAATATTTCTGATGCACAAGCAAGGTAAACTTAAAAATAGCTCAGGTGTTTCTGTGCTTCGACTGTAACTCTGCTTGTGCATCCTCCAATTATGCTCACCTTCCAAGYTGTGGGCAGGACACATTTATGTAGGATGCCACAGAGATGCCTTTGAGATAAGTGAGAAGTACAGTGACARGTGAGTTTGGTGTTCTACAGCTCATGTAACTTTGTTTTTTTGATTTGTAGAAGGGATCCGTGGAGCGTTGGGTAGGTATCTTTTTTTTTTTTTTAAATCTAACACTATGCATTTCCACTAATATGGCCTTTAAGGGTGAAACTTACTGGGTTACATTATATATAACTAGGAACATTTTCAGTTTCACTTCTTGATTTCAGTTGTGTTTCACCTAGGCCATGGCAGTAATCCTGTGGAATAGTTTGCTACGAGAAAACTCATAGTTAAAAATTTATTTGGACATTCAGGATAATGGCTGTCAACTTCTGAGGCTTCAAAGCATATCTCATTTTTGAAATGATAAATTTGGGTAATACATTAGTGAACATTCTGGTCCATATACTTCACAACTGGCTTTCTTGGAAGTGAAAGTTCCAGTTATAAATCTTGGGGTTTCTTTGATTTCCTTTTGGTTTTTGCTGTTCAGCATGCATGTGATGAATATTGAGCAAGACAACGWACTAAGATGCTTAAAGGCAACACAGCTTTGATCTTGATGGATAACTTTTAGCTATGTGTCCTTTGCAGTTACTCTTGTGAGGTTGTTTATATTACCCTTGTGAATTGCCCCTGCCACTGGTAATTCAAGTGATTTTTTTACAATTTAGTTTCTGTATATAATCTAATGCTGCATTTCACACTAATACTTCTGAAAATAATCTAAAATTACATCAAAGAATTGAGCAATGAATATTGTGAATCTATGTTCTTACCTCTCTCATCAGAAGCAAACTTTATAAACTACATTATAAGGAAAATCTTGAGTTCTCATCCACCTTTGTCATCCAAGTTTCTGAATGATGAGGCCAGGTTAACYGAGGTTCCCATGAATATACTTTCTTTCATTTTAAAATAATCTTCAGTTTTGATCATATTGTAGCACAAAACTTACTTTCTAGGCAAGCAAGCAAATCTTAAATACGTCATTTGGGTTTTCTTTTAATGCACAGTTTTGTGTAAAGGAAGCTGTCAGCTGCAAATTTCTTTTGTCTCAATCTCCTATTAGCCCATTCTTGGTGTCTGGCTRTCTTTCTGTCCAAGACCCTCTATCYACCAGCATGCAGGCAATCTATGATGTGTGCATATCTGCTAAAACAAGTTATCTAGTGGTAAAACTACAAGTTCTTCCTTCTGGGAAGGCAGCCCGCAAGGCCAGCAGCTGAAAGAAGTACCAGCTGGTAATGTATGCATTAGTATGTGATGTAGGAAAGTATTTTGTTTGGGTTTTTTTGTGATGGTGGTACTCATGATACTAATATGAGACAAACAGAATGGTGTTCACATTGAACAGAAATGAAAAAAATAGACCCAATTCAGTGTGCTGGATGGAGTGGAAACAGCAAACTATGCTCTGAGAATAATATAGTTTGCCTTTAGCTGCTAGCCTGAAGTAGTTACTTGTGTTACCAGTGAGGGTGGTCCTGCWTTGACATTTTCCCTTCTCTCCTCTTGGAGCTGGGTCACTTGGCTGTTGGTTCAGACAAGCCCTACTGTACAGCACAAAGGAAGTGTCTGGTCTGGAAGGATAGGACAGTGCAGGCAAGAGAACAAACCTCTCATTTCAGCATCACCTGCTAATCCACCATAGTGGAAGTGTTAAAATATAAWAAATAATCTTTGGAAAGAGCTGGTAAGAGAACACTGCAATAGAAAGAAAAGTATGTACTAAATATTTCTTTTGTTAAATGTTGACAGAGATTTGAGAGTATTTTGAAGTCCAGCTTAAAAATATCAGATGCTGAGATGAGCTGAACTGATCAGGAATTCAAATGGCATGAACCAAAATTTATCCAGAAAGCTTTGGACAATTTAAAGAACTGAACTTAAATGATGAGCAGCATTGCCCTCAGAAAGTGATAAATGAAYTCTGCTGAAGCATTAATGATGATAAACTCTTCTGGAAGTTATGTGCATCAGAATTGCAGACATTTAGGGAAGTGCTGGCTGTTGCATCTGCTTTCTGTGTGTCTTACACGAGCCAGTGTTTGTGTGGTGATGTGGTGAATTTCTGTGAAACACAAGACTCAAAAGGGATGGCTTTCAAAATGAAGAATTTCAGTAATGGTGGTGATAAACTTGATCTGGCCATAAAACAAGACTGCAGTATCTCAGTTTCTGTCCTAGGAAGCAGGCTGTCAGGTCAAAACAGAAATGCCAAGTTTCCACCTAAACTAGCAAAAGTTTGAGGAAAACACTGGCTTCTTGATAGGACACATATGGAAACACATSCACACTAAATTTTTGGTGATTCAGCTCACTGTCACTTATGCCCTTGAGCATTAGTGGAAGCAGAAAAACKCTGTAATTGTATATATGGGGTGGAAGGAGAGGAGGTTCCAGGGAGGTGGAATGAGGCTRTTTGATAAAGAGATGTAGCAGGAGAGAAAACTGTGCCAGCAGAAAACAGTCAGATATTGAGATGAAAACTCTGACTTGCAGTTCTGTCTTCATGTTAATGTTGTCAGCTAAAAACCTTATTTAAAGATGAGCAAAAAGGAAGCAAGAGGTTTTATTTACTACCTCTGTTAGAGAAAGCTGTCTAGGGCAACATAGGATTTTACAGAGCTTAAAAAATATGAAAAAACTTTGGAGTGACTAATAAAAAGCCAGGTGTCCTCCAGTCACAGTTTTCTTTTTTTTTTTTTTTTTTTTTTT